AGACTTATGTAGAGTGCTGGAAGAACCTCTCTCCTGTGTTATATGTCCGATCTGGTCAACTGCACTGTGGTGACATGCAGAATTCAGCTGGTTTTGTACCAACTTGACGCAGTTAGTCTTTGAAGTTCATTGCTATGAAATTGATCTGAGCTGCAGTAAGAAATCAAGTGATGTGTGGAAATTGTCTCACCCCAATGTCTTTTCATATTCTTTTAGTGCTGCTGTTGCTTTCCCCTGCCCTCCTCTCCTCATGTTACTGCTCCTTTCATTTGTGATTTTTATTTTGTATGCTGACAGAGGCAAGGATTTACACGCCTGGTCTGAAATACCCAGGTGTCCTTATCAAGATGCACCTCAGAGACAATCTGGTCTTAAAAGAGTAATTAAAATAAGTCCCATGATGGTTTCATCCAGAAGTCTTGCCACTGCTAAGCTGTCTGCTCTTTTGTTGGGGCATGTGCATATCCTGTAAAAAACATTAAAAAAAAAAGGAAAAGAGCATTTTGATAGCAACACAATTACTTTTATATTTCTATTTCCTCTGCCTAGACAGAGGCCATCAGTTTCAAATCTTAGTTTCAGTTAAAACAAGAAAGAAATCTGAAGCTGTTGAAATTGCAGCAAACTACAAATGATGTAAAATAAAACTATTTGAATTTAATATTTCATTATGTACCTTATATTTTGGTATGTATCAGACAGGGTTTTTTCTAAGAAGTCCCTAACCAGGATTTTAACACCAAACTTATGTGGCAAATAATATTTTTAATCAACAATTCCTATCTTTCCTTACTCGCACCAAGGAGCATTGGTAGGAGTTAACTCTTACCTTTGTATCAGTTATCAACATTCTCTGCCTTGGGAAAAATGCATACTTTAGAAGTATAAAAAAGTATATAAAAAGTATATAAAAAATGGACATTTTAGATCAAAGAGGAGAGTGAATGCACAATTGGTTAAGATATAGCTATTCTATCCTTTTATAAAGTTCAGCACTTTTTTCAGCCTGCATTTTTGTACCTTGTTTTACTGACCCATTCATACAACAGTGACCCTCTACACTAGTCAGGGAACACGTATCAATATTACAAAAAATGGTTTTATTACGTTCCATCTCTTGGGCAACGTGTTTCTGAGCATGAGATATTCCAGATAAATATCTGATCTGTGGGCCTTCAGGCTAAGTAAGAGACATTATCCTGAGAGATCACCAGACTCCTTCAGGAATTATTCTATTTTACAAAAAAAAGCTCCATGGTGCTCAGAAAGCATTCCTTGTATGAATACAAGTATCTAGAACCACTTCAATGCTCAGTAGTTCTTAAGACATAACTTTCACGCTTGGCTGCAATTCTCTGGGTCTTCAATATTCACTGTGACACTTGGGCTATTTTAGCTCTGGTTTGGGTTGGAAAGGACCTTTAAAGGTCACCTAGTCCGACCTCCCTGCAATGAGTGAGGACATCTTCCACTAGATCAGGTTGCACAGAGACCCATCCAACTTGACTCTGAATGTTTTTGGGGATGGGGCAACTACCTTCCCCCTGAACATCCCGTGCCAATGTTTTGCTACCTGCATAGAAAGGAATTTCTTCCTAATATCCAATCTAAATTGTCATTCTTTAAAACTATGAATCTACTAAAAATTTGTCCCCATTTTAGTCTTTAAGTATTAGAAGGCCACAGTAAGGTCTCCCTAGAGCCTTCTCTTCTCCAGGCTGAACAACCCCAGCTTTTGGAGCCTTTCGTCATAGAAGAGGTGTTCTAGCCCTCTGATTATCATTCGTGGCTCTTCACTGGACTCACTACAGCAGGTCCACATCCTTCTTATGTTGGGGACCCCAGAGCTGGACACAGTCCTCCAGGTGGGGTCTCACCTCAGTGGAGTAGAGGGGTAGAATCACCTCACTCGACGTGCTGGCCACACACTCAGAATGCTTCTTTTCTTTTTTTTTTTGAGAGACAACAATTAGTATGCTCTTCATGTGAGAAATATATAAGCATGAGAAAACCCAACAGAAACTAACATCACAAAATCACAAGTCAAAGCTTACTTAGCTTACTTTTAGCTTCATGAAGATGCTAAAACCAAATTAAACTGAAATGTCTGACGGGGTACCTCAGAAGTTCCTATGTATTCCACTGGTAGAGTTATGCTGCCACCTATTGTGAAGATGAACCTGACACTCATGTCACTTTGCTAGGACACATGTTTGCAATAATTATCACTTCTCTTTCTGTTTTTCCTATTAAAAGTACTTTCTTCTGAAGTATCTGCTACTGATCACTGCTGAGAAAAGTCGCAGGCATAAGTGGCCTTTTGACCTGACCAAATACAGGTGTTCATACATTTTGATCTCTGATCTCCCACAATGTACAGTTTAATTTGGCTCAGGATCATGACTGTCCACTGCTGTCAGCTCAAAGGCTGGTTCAAAATGAGAACCCTGTTTCTCTACTCCAATTAGTGGCCAAGCAATGCAGCAGCCATGGCCAGGGAGGCAGCACGCTCTCCCTGCCATAATGCTCCAAGATGTGCTTTTCCTTCCTCCTTTGTGCAAGGAGCACAGGACTGTAGGTTAGTACCTGGAGCATGTTCCATGAAACTGAGACAGTATTTGAACTCTAATATAAACTCATGACTATGCCTTTAGGACACCTCTTCTTCCTCACAAGCACAAGAGCACATATTATGTCCGATTCCAGCAGCTTCAGTCACCAGCCCTGAGCAGGAAGCTCTGTTGCCCAAAGCTGCTTTTTTGTGTGCACAGAATTTAGGCAACCTTACTTAGGAGGGCAGCCTCAGGAGGCCCGGGCCAGTACACCTCTAGAGGCTCACACCATGAGCAAAGCAGAAAAAAGCTGCAATGGTATTTCCGTCTCTCTAAAACTGAAGTAGCTTGGCACTGGTCAAGTTTTGCAGTTCTCAATGTACCTTTCCACACCTTTTTACTTTCTGTCTGCCTTGGCATGATGCATATACACTCTGTTCCTTCACTTCTCCAGTAGTATCAGCTAAGCCAAGACCTAGGCATTAGGCCACCACTGCCATCCTAAGGTCACTTAGCTGGGAAAAAGAGGCCATCTGTTCACTCACAGCAAGCAGTGTGCATCATCACATGCCCTTATGCTCCCATCTTTCCAATCCTCCCCATGGTCTGCCTCATTATTAATTTTTTCTTCCAGCTTTAGGAATCAAATGGTTTGTACAAACAATAGGTTTGTACAATCTGCAGCACTACTGCGAACCAGGAGCAGTGCAGTACTCAGAGTCACTCCTGGTCAGCTTGGATAGCTGCTCAGGCCAACCAACTAGTGGGATTTTCACATTTACCTTTAGGGCATTCAGCAGCTTCCAAATCACTCAGCAGGAGAGAGAATCTCTGTCTTGAACTGCAGCTGTAGTTAAACCTGGCTGCACAGACAGTGGTGGTGCAGCCAGGGAGGACAGCCAGGTACAAGTGCTGCCAGCAAAACAAGCCTCAGAAGAATGAGGTATTTCATAGTGTTTGCTGTGCCAGAGGGTATGTATTTTTACACTTTTGAATTGATAAATGCAACCAAGATCTGTCAAAGTCAGGGCTGTTTGCAGCACAGAGGCAAATGAGAGTATCAGCAACTCAAGATGGTACTGTAGGTAGCACACTGTACTTTCAGAGTAATATGATAATTTACGAACTCCTTGGACATGTGTTTGCACTCCCTTGTGTCCAGGGACAGGACACGAGGCACTTGCAGCAACGGAAGCTGTGTGATGGTGTCCGTGACACCTGGGTTCAGCACCCCACCATTATTATGGGAGTTGCCTGAAGAAAAGAGGTTGGGTTCATGGGCAACTTTCAGCCTCCTCATCACCTTAGCTGGTTTCTCAAGAAGTAGTTTGTTCTAGGGAGTAAGCTGGGATAAAGATCCAAGATAGTCTGTGGTCCTCAGCTCCATAGATAAGCTGCAGCTAAGCAGCAGGAATTAGAAACACTGTCTATACAGTTAACTGAGGCAACAGAGTCCTCAGTACCCTTCTCTTCCTGAGTACAACCTGAGCACATTCAGATACTACATTGTTATCAGACCCTTCAGCTGTGAGCTGCACATTTCTAAGCTTCTTCCTTACTCCTGTAGGGAAACTCCTGTTGCCCTTCCATATATTTTAGAAATAGGAGAAAGATCTCACTTTCTAGTTATTACATGACTAGCACACACATTATTTGCACGGCAGTCAGAAAAAAAAAAAAGCATGTTTGGGTTTTAGCCCAAATCCAGGAGCCATCACATTAAGATGGTTTAACTGTTCTGAAAGAGCTGAGGTCCAAGTCCTGGGTCCATTACACAAGATCAACCTCTCTCTCATACAAGAGATGTATGTATCTTAAAGAAGTTTAAATCAAGATACAGTATCATGACTTCAGACACAAGACTGACCTCAATTTAAGTCAAATACTCTCAGCTTTGTCTCAAAAGTGACAGATTCCAACCAAAACAGTACCTTTGCCAAAACATTCCATGATCCCATCCCTATACCCAGTGGCAGTGACTCATCATACTCAGTGATAAAGGACAGTACATGCAGACAGGTACTTTTTTTCTTTTTTTTTATTGCTGTTAATTCAAGGAAAAAGGTTGCATAAAATCCAATCTCTTCTAGAAATATAAGTGACCTTTCCAGTACATTTCAAATATCAAAGTATATGGTAAACATACAAATAAAGAGAAGGTAACATACCTCCTATTTACAGTACAGTATTTTAAATCATAAAATAAGTTCCATAAAGTACAACTGGCAGGTAATTCACAATACAAGTCCATTGGTGGTTTAACACCCTCACTTAAACTCAAACGCAGTTCATTCATTTCAAGTGGTCCAAAAATACCCAGATCAAATAAAAATTTTAATCAAAATAATTTTCATTTACTACTTAAACTTTTTTTTTTTTTTAAATTAAAGCTTTCATCTACCTCCCTCCCCATTCCCCCCCTCCAAGAAAAAAGTTTCAAAATGTACACTGGTGCTATAAATATAAATGCTACCTATGAAGAAATGTAGTAATCAAGCTTTTTTTTTTTTTCTTCAAGTTTTTTGTTTAGCAATTTATTAGACGGCTGAACCAAAGACTGATTTTTATTTCATCCCTCTACTGGACACTGGGTCTGATTTTAAGAAAAAACATTTCTGCCATGAACTGTGAGGAATGCCAAACCCTATGGATATACAGTGGTAGTTGTTCATCGGTGTTGAATGCAGCAGTCAAAAAACACACTCGTCTTCCAGATAACCTCAGTGCACTTTAGGAAATCAAATATTACCTGGAAGCAATTTAGTACATATATTGGCTTTTAAAAATAAAATAAAAAATACAGCAGCATTAAACTTACTCATGATACTGACATGTTTAATACCATCTTAACACTCATTTCAGTCTTTCACATTATACCGTAATTACGCATAGTGGTAAATTGTTATAAAATAGTGACTTTGCTATTTGGTAGACAGGTTCTAATACTAATACCTGACTATTTTGTAGAAAACCATAGCTTTTGTTCAGTTTGAAATAAAACATTTACATTCTAAGTACAATGCAACACTGTAACAGTTTAGGAAAAAAAATAATCAATCAAGTAATGTTCATTCTGTGTTGACACGATGTAGAATAGCTTTAAAAAAGGAAAAAATGCTGTCAACTTTCATTACAAATGCAAACACACTGAGTACAACATTCATACCATTTTTTTCACCTTTTTTGCTGAACATACAGGCTAAAAAGCTACAAGGGAAGAAAAATCTGTCAATTTAAGCTCGTTCATTTTTCTCAATCTGTTCCAGTCCACACAGTTTCAGCCCCTTCCTGCTCTATGTACTTTCATTTATTTGGGCCTCTTGAGAGCTGCGTATATTAATTATTATCAGACATAGTACACATACAGTATTGTGTTTTCCTTTGGACTCTGCTAATAGGACGTTTGAACATCTCCCCTCAATTCATGAGCACTAAATTTAGAGTACGGGCAGGGTCTGTATGAACTGCTAAACACTCATGCAAGTCCAACGAATCCACGTGGACAACCAGGGAAAGAAAAGAAAACAGCAGCATAAAGGAGAACAGGGAGGGAGGGAAGAAGATTGTGGTGGGGAACACGACCAAGTTTCTTCTTTCACCATATGGCTGCTCCACCAGTGATGTCAGAGGTCAGAGGAATTTTTTTTTTTTAAAAACTGCAGTAAACATTGCACATGTCTCAAGTCTTCAGTGCAAAAGCATGGTTTGAATGCTCTGTCTGATTGTTTGGCTGTGTGTTTGAATTACATGCATTATGCAAGCCTTTTGTAGAACCAGGAGGAGACCAGGGACTCAGCTTTCTTCTTTTGTACGGAACAGAGGTGCAAAAGCAATGAAAAATTCCAAAAGAATATAAAACCGGGAATGTCCCAAAACACAAGACCAGCCCCTCCCTCCCACATACACCTTCCCCCAGTTTCCCAAGCTTCAGTTTAAGTAGGCAATGTTTACTTGTTTCAGTCTGCAGAATCCAAGGTATCATTGGAAGGGGGAGGGGGAGGTGCGTATCTCAGTCTGTAAGTGCCTAAAACAGGAAAGAGAACTACTAAGTCACTGCTCACAATTAAAATGGATTACAAAACCACTACAAGGTATCAAAATGGACATGCTCTTCAAAAGGCACTATCATCCTCCAGTCCTTTTAAAGTAGGTCCTTAGACTTTACCCTGTTTTCTTTCATCTGCTTGCTAGAACTGTAAATTTAAAAAAGATATAGAGCATAGATACAGGACTTGAGCTTTACTGGAAAAATGCAAAGAAAAGATGACCCCCATCAAGGTTCATCTTTCCTGTCCACTCCAATCAAACAAGTGAAGTCAGAATGGGCACAAGTACAAGAACCAAAAATAGCTTATGCTCAATGCAAACACTGCATTTCCCCCCATTCTTCTGGACGGAGAGAGAAACTGAAGCCATTCCTTTGATTTTTAGTTTCAATTGCTTTCTGCCTTTTTGCTGCAACTTGTCTGAAAAGTTAAATGTATTGCATGATGGGACACAGAAGGATAGCTGATTGTGCAAAGGTAAGCCTTAGTTAGATTATGAAATAGCCAGTCTATTGTTTTTTCTTTAAATTCTCACAAGTTTTAGAAATCCAAGGCCATATCATAGGCAGCAATTGATATCTTTCACTTTTTGCCAACAAATTCTCTCAAAAAAACCCCACTGAATGGGAATGCAAAAACTGAAACAACATGCAAGTCTCGACATAATGTCAAAAACAAAACAGTGAAAAAAGAAGGACAATTTAGGACTGGTATCACTTGACTTTTCAGCTTCAATTCATACGCATTTTCAACTTCACGCTGTGAACCCTGTTCCCTTGCACTGTTCTACAAGATTTTCAGGCAGAGATAAGATACTTTGCAGTTTTAGAGCAGGTCACTAGTGCACAACCATTTACACAAAACATACACACGCACGCACACCTTTCTGCAAGACCAAAACCAGCACATTCAGAAAGGTAAAGAGAAACTGCTAAACTCAAAAGCAAGTCCGCTGGGAGTTATCATGATTACCTTGTTGACTGGCCTCCATGGATGACTGCTTACAGTCCTGCGCATAGTGTCCACTTACACCACAATTGTAACATGAAACATTCCCATTCTTCTTGGGTCCTGACCCATTTGTGTTGGCAACTACGTTAGGTGCTGGATATACAGGATAGAACCTCGAAAATCCTGCCATCTGCTGCATACCATAGTTGGCTTGGCTCCCCATCACTGGGTCATGCATGAGCCCATTTGCATATGGAGACTGAGGCAGGAAGAACGGAAGTTGTGTTCCATTGCTTTGATGTGCTTGATTGAGGTAGCTGCCATTGCAAAGTGATGGCAGAGGGAAGAAAGGTGGAACTCTGTAGACTTGTCCATGAAGTGGGTTATGATAAAAATAGCTATTAATCTGAAGGCTGCCATTGGTCCCACAGCTACACCTACGTCCACAAGAACCACAAGGACCAGATCCCAACTGCTGCGGAGGTAACATTGTCCCGTTAGTGTTATTATTCCCAACAGCGTTTATGTAGGATGTGCTGTCACTCTGTGCAGTGCTGTGTGTTAGAGCGGGGCTCGGGCTGGGGGCAGGGCCTGGCGTGTGTGTTGGTATTGCAGGAGGAACAGTGGACTGGACCTGACCAACACCTAAGCCAGCGGACTGAGGTGGTGAGGAAGCTGCTCCAGTGTTTAGCACGTTTGTATTCTGGTTGGGCAACACACTGTTAGCATGAGGACTGCCTGGCAAAGCGTACGAAGCTGGTGGAGGTGGCGGTGCTGCTGTGGAGAGACCAGCTGCTGGAAGAACTACCTTTAGATTGGTAGGCTGAGGGATTGCTCCTGGGTTTCCCTCAATGTGAGGCACCATTTGATTCAGTCCTACCACCTGGGATGCAGGTTTTGTGATGGGATCTGTAGTAGGAACTGGAGATCCTGGGAAACTACCTGGATTGTGGACTGGGATAAAGGCAGTATTTGGTGATCCAATACTTAAGTTTCCTGTCGGCTGCTGTGGTCCATTAACTGTGCAACTCTCCGATGATCCCTGTGGAGAGGGCATTTTCAATCTGTGTATTGCCAAATGCAAAGCAGGGCTACCAGGCTGGACAGAATGTGGAAGGAAAGTGGATGGGACTGGCAAAGGGGAAGCCATCAGCTCAAGACGTTTCTCAGGTTCACCGGAGGTGACTGGGCCCATTCCACCAGGCGGGGAATTCGCAGACTCTCTCACTGGCGAGACAGCGACAGGCGTGGTAACGAGCATTCCCATCGTTTTACCATCTGCAGATATGGGTGGTGGGACAACTGCTTCCGGCTTTTGGGCAGCGCTGTGCATCACACAGTGTAAGGCAGGCATGAAGGAAATATGTTGAAACTTTGCATTCAAAGGATCTTCTGAAAGGCTCCCATTTTCATTACTCACTGAAGAGATCTGAGCAGATGATTTGTTCATATTTGATGAACTGACAGCACTGTAGCCTGTAAACCTGGTTGTATTTTGATTCCCAGAGTCCTCAGAATTGCTGTCTGTATCTATGGGTACAAAAGCATTTGTCAGTCAGAAGAATGAATCTCAAGCAACAGAGAATCATGCCCTGGCCTCATTTACCCATATAAAATCTCGTTAAGTTTGATGACATGAATGACAGTTAAGTCTTCCCGAACTGTAACAACTTTGAGATTTTTTTCAATCATCCAAATTAAGCTAGGTCCATCTCCATCACTTGCCTATATATCCACCTGCCTAACTAGCTACTGTGTCTTTGACTTGTGTGTATCTGCAAATGTGAAGAACAGAATACAGACCGAGTTACAAATTTGCATCTGCCTAGAAAGACATTACCACAGCTTACCCAAATTTGGAAGGAGTGGCAAACTATCAGTACAAAAAGACGGAGTTCTCAGACATAACACACATAATTTGATATAAAACCAGTCCCTTTCATGCCAATGTTTTTCACATTACTGTACTGTGGAAATTTCTCAAGAGAGCTATGCCACTGAGGTCAAAAAATTACTACATATATGTAGTAACCTAAAACTCAGTGGTATTCAAACAGTCCTGCTATTTGCTAGAAGCTGTCAAATCATCCAGTCATGAAACCCACAAAGCAAAATGTATTCTCTGGCTAGTTCAGAAAAAAAAAAGGAGATAATAAAACTAAAAAACTAATTAAAATTAATACAAGCAAGAGATTAGTCTAGGAATAAAGGCATTTATGCACACTTTCCATAAATACAACCTCTGTCTTTTTCTTCTTCACTATCAAAGCTTTCCCTCCCATCATGTCGTGGACTAGAAGGAGAACTGTAACTTTCAGATGATGTTTCTCCACAAGTGTCATGACCAGATCCAGCATCCAGATTCAGATCTAAAAATAAAAGTGGTCATTTTTATTTTTAATCTCAATGTATGGAAGCAAGGTTATTTTGGTTTGCTCACATTTCATACTAGTTCAGATTTTTGCCTGTTCCTATTTAATGGCATCTGTCCCCTATATTGCTAGCATTTCAACCCCCAGCATTCAGGACTGGTCTTGTCTCTAAATTTGTGATGACTGAATCCCTGGTGTTACAGAAGGTGATACTGAAAATTGATATTTACGCAAAGCAGTGAAAAGAATGATGACCCTTAATGATTTCTGTGATGCTTATATCAGATTGCACTACAACAAAAATTTCCTCTGAATGGTAGCGATCAAACATTTCCATTCGAAGAGCTGCAATGCTCCTCGGTCCTACCAGCACAGGCAGAAAGCTAACTCAGCAGGGAACATCAAAACAATACAGTATTTTACAATTCACTCTTCTAGAACAGGCTTTAAGCAAACCCTGTCAACAAATCCTGATTAAAGAAAGAGAGGCAAACTGAAAAAGTGTTAAATTGTTTTCTGATTTCTGAATGGATCATGGGACAGTCATTTGCTGCAAACCAGCTTTCAGAGTCGGTAGCTACCACGGTTTGGCTTTCAAGTTCAGCCTCAGAGGGGAAGAAGAATGACAAATTCACCCTCTCTCAGAATCTATGCCAGACACTAGCTTCAGAGAAACCCCAAAACACAAAACACTGATCGACGAAATTCCAGCACAAAAATTAGAACATTATTACTTATTTTATGAATTACAATAATAGTTTATAAATAAAATAGTATTTTAAAAAATTTTTATTGCTACTGCAAGTTTAACAGGTTGGGATGGGTCATCAAAAAGCTGCCTTAATATTTCAATTCCTGAAATAATTTCCTTGATTAAACCTGTAATTGGTTAAATTATTTTAACAAGTGCTCTGAATATCTAATATAATCTGGATCCCCAGTCTCAACTTCCAGTCACTGAAAACCAGAGTCTAAGGTGCTGGTCACAAAGCATCAAGTCTTAAAAGTTACCAGTGTAACTAACCCATGCCTCAGAAAAGCTAAAAATAGGGATGAAAAATGGAAGAAAACAGGATGCAGTTAAGAGTTATGGACTCAAAATAGGGCATTTCAAATCAAGCCTGGATATATAAAACTAGGCAGAGATTCAGATTGCAACATGTTTTTTTTTTCGTTAGACTATGTCTCCAATAAGTATCTCAAAAGACATTTTAACGTTTATATATAGGTGGAAAGCCCATCTCTGAGCATGACATAATGGCTTCTAGACTCTGTGGGTTACAGCTGCTTCTTGAACCAGCCAACAGTGATCAGGCAGGCAGTCTCACACCTGTAGAGTGGTGGGTAGTTAGCAAACACAACTACGGCAAAACATTCCCTATTTAACTTTGCACTATGCCACCCGAACTTGCACCACCTCCTAAAGTTATTGTCAGTTCATAAAAGCTTAGTGCCTGACTACAAAACCAGTAATCAATCAGAAACGTACACAGCAAAGTTCTGCTGTAGAGTATGTTTTCTGTTTGCACATCCCTTAATTATAGGTTTGCAAAATTGTTCTGCTTTTGCTAAGTTTGTGAACTGCATTCTTAAAGTTTTAGTCAAATACTGTTTGTAGAAGGCAAAAACACTTGCCCAAAAAACACATCAGTAATTCCAAATGGGATCCACCTGGAACTCTCAAATGTAAGAAGCAGAGAGAAGAAAGAATGAAAGCTTAATCAAGATTGTACCACAAGTGGAAGCAACAGAAAGACAAGGCACTTTTAAGAATCCCTTCAACACTTATGCCAATTACGTGGTGTAGGAAAAGGCAAACCCTTTGTCAACCTTCTGTCATGTAAACTACATGTAAGAGAAGCAAGGCTGCAATCGATATTGTGAACTTAGAAAATATCAAGAAAGCAAAGTCAATGGGTAGACCGTCAGAAATTTGTAATAAAGCTTGGTGACTCGATTTACTAAAGGAACACAAATATAATTTTGTCTTACAACTGACTGATGTACACAAGTTTTGGCCTAGACACTACATTTTGCTGGATTACCCAAACCTGAGAACCCTGCTAGGGCAGCATACACAGTTCTGTGTTGTAGCTCAGTAGTCACTTGGTTTACACACTACAGTTCATCAACAGTTTGCACCAGAGGTTTTTATAAAGGTTCCTCGTGGGCCACTCCACAACAGATGAAGAAACTAGTAGGCTGCAAAGAGAACACTAATGACAATATAGTGGGGCTCCACACACTCTAGACTGCTAAATTCCATACAGAAGTAGCCCAACAGTAACTGTTTCTGCAACTACTACACCACATAAACCAACTCACGGAGACTTTACTAGTATTTTACCACCTACTTATGAAAAGAGACACACCCTGTGCAACTGCATACGCAAGACTGAGTCTAATGTTCTATACAGCAAGTCAAAGCACAAACTAGACTACTAACATGCTGACTTTCACCAAAACAGATTTAAGACTTGTGATTTCCCCTTTCCAGAGGAACTTTGAATAAATCAGCAAAGCTGGAATTCTGTTTCTCACAAACAGTTTGGGGAAAAAACACCTTACCTTTTGCTGTCCCAGTACGGATGTGCTGTGATGCCGCAACTCGAACTCCATTGCTCCTGTTATTCAACCTGCACTCAGTTTTCTTTGCTTTCTCCCTGTGTAAATACTTTTCATTGGTTTTTTGCAAATGCATGGACACAAATAACCTACCATGAATGAACACATAATGTGACCGTAAACAAAAGCAGTGACTCCAGGCCAGAAATGTGTATTTAATAGATATAACATGAAATTTAAATAGTAAACAAATAAGTAAAGGCTGTTGGTGCAATATACCAGGAACTAAGCTGCAAGCAGTGTTATTAAACACTATGAATAAGGAAATGGTGCAGCTGATGCCGTACACCAGTCTAGCATAAAAGTATCTGTCTATAGAGTAACAAAATGGCACAAACTCTGCTGTAAGGCAGAGNAATTATTATCAGACATAGTACACATACAGTATTGTGTTTTCCTTTGGACTCTGCTAATAGGACGTTTGAACATCTCCCCTCAATTCATGAGCACTAAATTTAGAGTACGGGCAGGGTCTGTATGAACTGCTAAACACTCATGCAAGTCCAACGAATCCACGTGGACAACCAGGGAAAGAAAAGAAAACAGCAGCATAAAGGAGAACAGGGAGGGAGGGAAGAAGATTGTGGTGGGGAACACGACCAAGTTTCTTCTTTCACCATATGGCTGCTCCACCAGTGATGTCAGAGGTCAGAGGAATTTTTTTTTTTTAAAAACTGCAGTAAACATTGCACATGTCTCAAGTCTTCAGTGCAAAAGCATGGTTTGAATGCTCTGTCTGATTGTTTGGCTGTGTGTTTGAATTACATGCATTATGCAAGCCTTTTGTAGAACCAGGAGGAGACCAGGGACTCAGCTTTCTTCTTTTGTACGGAACAGAGGTGCAAAAGCAATGAAAAATTCCAAAAGAATATAAAACCGGGAATGTCCCAAAACACAAGACCAGCCCCTCCCTCCCACATACACCTTCCCCCAGTTTCCCAAGCTTCAGTTTAAGTAGGCAATGTTTACTTGTTTCAGTCTGCAGAATCCAAGGTATCATTGGAAGGGGGAGGGGGAGGTGCGTATCTCAGTCTGTAAGTGCCTAAAACAGGAAAGAGAACTACTAAGTCACTGCTCACAATTAAAATGGATTACAAAACCACTACAAGGTATCAAAATGGACATGCTCTTCAAAAGGCACTATCATCCTCCAGTCCTTTTAAAGTAGGTCCTTAGACTTTACCCTGTTTTCTTTCATCTGCTTGCTAGAACTGTAAATTTAAAAAAGATATAGAGCATAGATACAGGACTTGAGCTTTACTGGAAAAATGCAAAGAAAAGATGACCCCCATCAAGGTTCATCTTTCCTGTCCACTCCAATCAAACAAGTGAAGTCAGAATGGGCACAAGTACAAGAACCAAAAATAGCTTATGCTCAATGCAAACACTGCATTTCCCCCCATTCTTCTGGACGGAGAGAGAAACTGAAGCCATTCCTTTGATTTTTAGTTTCAATTGCTTTCTGCCTTTTTGCTGCAACTTGTCTGAAAAGTTAAATGTATTGCATGATGGGACACAGAAGGATAGCTGATTGTGCAAAGGTAAGCCTTAGTTAGATTATGAAATAGCCAGTCTATTGTTTTTTCTTTAAATTCTCACAAGTTTTAGAAATCCAAGGCCATATCATAGGCAGCAATTGATATCTTTCACTTTTTGCCAACAAATTCTCTCAAAAAAACCCCACTGAATGGGAATGCAAAAACTGAAACAACATGCAAGTCTCGACATAATGTCAAAAACAAAACAGTGAAAAAAGAAGGACAATTTAGGACTGGTATCACTTGACTTTTCAGCTTCAATTCATACGCATTTTCAACTTCACGCTGTGAACCCTGTTCCCTTGCACTGTTCTACAAGATTTTCAGGCAGAGATAAGATACTTTGCAGTTTTAGAGCAGGTCACTAGTGCACAACCATTTACACAAAACATACACACGCACGCACACCTTTCTGCAAGACCAAAACCAGCACATTCAGAAAGGTAAAGAGAAACTGCTAAACTCAAAAGCAAGTCCGCTGGGAGTTATCATGATTACCTTGTTGACTGGCCTCCATGGATGACTGCTTACAGTCCTGCGCATAGTGTCCACTTACACCACAATTGTAACATGAAACATTCCCATTCTTCTTGGGTCCTGACCCATTTGTGTTGGCAACTACGTTAGGTGCTGGATATACAGGATAGAACCTCGAAAATCCTGCCATCTGCTGCATACCATAGTTGGCTTGGCTCCCCATCACTGGGTCATGCATGAGCCCATTTGCATATGGAGACTGAGGCAGGAAGAACGGAAGTTGTGTTCCATTGCTTTGATGTGCTTGATTGAGGTAGCTGCCATTGCAAAGTGATGGCAGAGGGAAGAAAGGTGGAACTCTGTAGACTTGTCCATGAAGTGGGTTATGATAAAAATAGCTATTAATCTGAAGGCTGCCATTGGTCCCACAGCTACACCTACGTCCACAAGAACCACAAGGACCAGATCCCAACTGCTGCGGAGGTAACATTGTCCCGTTAGTGTTATTATTCCCAACAGCGTTTATGTAGGATGTGCTGTCACTCTGTGCAGTGCTGTGTGTTAGAGCGGGGCTCGGGCTGGGGGCAGGGCCTGGCGTGTGTGTTGGTATTGCAGGAGGAACAGTGGACTGGACCTGACCAACACCTAAGCCAGCGGACTGAGGTGGTGAGGAAGCTGCTCCAGTGTTTAGCACGTTTGTATTCTGGTTGGGCAACACACTGTTAGCATGAGGACTGCCTGGCAAAGCGTACGAAGCTGGTGGAGGTGGCGGTGCTGCTGTGGAGAGACCAGCTGCTGGAAGAACTACCTTTAGATTGGTAGGCTGAGGGATTGCTCCTGGGTTTCCCTCAATGTGAGGCACCATTTGATTCAGTCCTACCACCTGGGATGCAGGTTTTGTGATGGGATCTGTAGTAGGAACTGGAGATCCTGGGAAACTACCTGGATTGTGGACTGGGATAAAGGCAGTATTTGGTGATCCAATACTTAAGTTTCCTGTCGGCTGCTGTGGTCCATTAACTGTGCAACTCTCCGATGATCCCTGTGGAGAGGGCATTTTCAATCTGTGTATTGCCAAATGCAAAGCAGGGCTACCAGGCTGGACAGAATGTGGAAGGAAAGTGGATGGGACTGGCAAAGGGGAAGCCATCAGCTCAAGACGTTTCTCAGGTTCACCGGAGGTGACTGGGCCCATTCCACCAGGCGGGGAATTCGCAGACTCTCTCACTGGCGAGACAGCGACAGGCGTGGTAACGAGCATTCCCATCGTTTTACCATCTGCAGATATGGGTGGTGGGACAACTGCTTCCGGCTTTTGGGCAGCGCTGTGCATCACACAGTGTAAGGCAGGCATGAAGGAAATATGTTGAAACTTTGCATTCAAAGGATCTTCTGAAAGGCTCCCATTTTCATTACTCACTGAAGAGATCTGAGCAGATGATTTGTTCATATTTGATGAACTGACAGCACTGTAGCCTGTAAACCTGGTTGTATTTTGATTCCCAGAGTCCTCAGAATTGCTGTCTGTATCTATGGGTACAAAAGCATTTGTCAGTCAGAAGAATGAATCTCAAGCAACAGAGAATCATGCCCTGGCCTCATTTACCCATATAAAATCTCGTTAAGTTTGATGACATGAATGACAGTTAAGTCTTCCCGAACTGTAACAACTTTGAGATTTTTTTCAATCATCCAAATTAAGCTAGGTCCATCTCCATCACTTGCCTATATATCCACCTGCCTAACTAGCTACTGTGTCTTTGACTTGTGTGTATCTGCAAATGTGAAGAACAGAATACAGACCGAGTTACAAATTTGCATCTGCCTAGAAAGACATTACCACAGCTTACCCAAATTTGGAAGGAGTGGCAAACTATCAGTACAAAAAGACGGAGTTCTCAGACATAACACACATAATTTGATATAAAACCAGTCCCTTTCATGCCAATGTTTTTCACATTACTGTACTGTGGAAATTTCTCAAGAGAGCTATGCCACTGAGGTCAAAAAATTACTACATATATGTAGTAACCTAAAACTCAGTGGTATTCAAACAGTCCTGCTATTTGCTAGAAGCTGTCAAATCATCCAGTCGTGAAACCCACAAAGCAAAATGTATTCTCTGGCTAGTTCAGAAAAAAAAAAGGAGATAATAAAACTAAAAAACTAATTAAAATTAATACAAGCAAGAGATTAGTCTAGGAATAAAGGCATTTATGCACACTTTCCATAAATACAACCTCTGTCTTTTTCTTCTTCACTATCAAAGCTTTCCCTCCCATCATGTCGTGGACTAGAAGGAGAACTGTAACTTTCAGATGATGTTTCTCCACAAGTGTCATGACCAGATCCAGCATCCAGATTCAGATCTAAAAATAAAAGTGGTCATTTTTATTTTTAATCTCAATGTATGGAAGCAAGGTTATTTTGGTTTGCTCACATTTCATACTAGTTCAGATTTTTGCCTGTTCCTATTTAATGGCATCTGTCCCCTATATTGCTAGCATTTCAACCCCCAGCATTCAGGACTGGTCTTGTCTCTAAATTTGTGATGACTGAATCCCTGGTGTTACAGAAGGTGATACTGAAAATTGATATTTACGCAAAGCAGTGAAAAGAATGATGACCCTTAATGATTTCTGTGATGCTTATATCAGATTGCACTACAACAAAAATTTCCTCTGAATGGTAGCGATCAAACATTTCCATTCGAAGAGCTGCAATGCTCCTCGGTCCTACCAGCACAGGCAGAAAGCTAACTCAGCAGGGAACATCAAAACAATACAGTATTTTACAATTCACTCTTCTAGAACAGGCTTTAAGCAAACCCTGTCAACAAATCCTGATTAAAGAAAGAGAGGCAAACTGAAAAAGTGTTAAATTGTTTTCTGATTTCTGAATGGATCATGGGACAGTCATTTGCTGCAAACCAGCTTTCAGAGTCGGTAGCTACCACGGTTTGGCTTTCAAGTTCAGCCTCAGAGGGGAAGAAGAATGACAAATTCACCCTCTCTCAGAATCTATGCCAGACACTAGCTTCAGAGAAACCCCAAAACACAAAACACTGATCGACGAAATTCCAGCACAAAAATTAGAACATTATTACTTATTTTATGAATTACAATAATAGTTTATAAATAAAATAGTATTTTAAAAAATTTTTATTGCTACTGCAAGTTTAACAGGTTGGGATGGGTCATCAAAAAGCTGCCTTAATATTTCAATTCCTGAAATAATTTCCTTGATTAAACCTGTAATTGGTTAAATTATTTTAACAAGTGCTCTGAATATCTAATATAATCTGGATCCCCAGTCTCAACTTCCAGTCACTGAAAACCAGAGTCTAAGGTGCTGGTCACAAAGCATCAAGTCTTAAAAGTTACCAGTGTAACTAACCCATGCCTCAGAAAAGCTAAAAATAGGGATGAAAAATGGAAGAAAACAGGATGCAGTTAAGAGTTATGGACTCAAAATAGGGCATTTCAAATCAAGCCTGGATATATAAAACTAGGCAGAGATTCAGATTGCAACATGTTTTTTTTTTCGTTAGACTATGTCTCCAATAAGTATCTCAAAAGACATTTTAACGTTTATATATAGGTGGAAAGCCCATCTCTGAGCATGACATAATGGCTTCTAGACTCTGTGGGTTACAGCTGCTTCTTGAACCAGCCAACAGTGATCAGGCAGGCAGTCTCACACCTGTAGAGTGGTGGGTAGTTAGCAAACACAACTACGGCAAAACATTCCCTATTTAACTTTGCACTATGCCACCCGAACTTGCACCACCTCCTAAAGTTATTGTCAGTTCATAAAAGCTTAGTGCCTGACTACAAAACCAGTAATCAATCAGAAACATACACAGCAAAGTTCTGCTGTAGAGTATGTTTTCTGTTTGCACATCCCTTAATTATAGGTTTGCAAAATTGTTCTGCTTTTGCTAAGTTTGTGAACTGCATTCTTAAAGTTTTAGTCAAATACTGTTTGTAGAAGGCAAAAACACTTGCCCAAAAAACACATCAGTAATTCCAAATGGGATCCACCTGGAACTCTCAAATGTAAGAAGCAGAGAGAAGAAAGAATGAAAGCTTAATCAAGATTGTACCACAAGTGGAAGCAACAGAAAGACAAGGCACTTTTAAGAATCCCTTCAACACTTATGCCAATTATGTGGTGTAGGAAAAGGCAAACCCTTTGTCAACCTTCTGTCATGTAAACTACATGTAAGAGAAGCAAGGCTGCAATCGATATTGTGAACTTAGAAAATATCAAGAAAGCAAAGTCAATGGGTAGACCGTCAGAAATTTGTAATAAAGCTTGGTGACTCGATTTACTAAAGGAACACAAATATAATTTTGTCTTACAACTGACTGATGTACACAAGTTTTGGCCTAGACACTACATTTTGCTGGATTACCCAAACCTGAGAACCCTGCTAGGGCAGCATACACAGTTCTGTGTTGTAGCTCAGTAGTCACTTGGTTTACACACTACAGTTCATCAACAGTTTGCACCAGAGGTTTTTATAAAGGTTCCTCGTGGGCCACTCCACAACAGATGAAGAAACTAGTAGGCTGCAAAGAGAACACTAATGACAATATAGTGGGGCTCCACACACTCTAGACTGCTAAATTCCATACAGAAGTAGCCCAACAGTAACTGTTTCTGCAACTACTACACCACATAAACCAACTCACGGAGACTTTACTAGTATTTTACCACCTACTTATGAAAAGAGACACACCCTGTGCAACTGCATACGCAAGACTGAGTCTAATGTTCTATACAGCAAGTCAAAGCACAAACTAGACTACTAACATGCTGACTTTCACCAAAACAGATTTAAGACTTGTGATTTCCCCTTTCCAGAGGAACTTTGAATAAATCAGCAAAGCTGGAATTCTGTTTCTCACAGTTTGGGGAAAAAACACCTTACCTTTTGCTGTCCCAGTACGGATGTGCTGTGATGCCGCAACTCGAACTCCATTGCTCCTGTTATTCAACCTGCACTCAGTTTTCTTTGCTTTCTCCCTGTGTAAATACTTTTCATTGGTTTTTTGCAAATGCATGGACACAAATAACCTACCATGAATGAACACATAATGTGACCGTAAACAAAAGCAGTGACTCCAGGCCAGAAATGTGTATTTAATAGATATAACATGAAATTTAAATAGTAAACAAATAAGTAAAGGCTATTGGTGCAATATACCAGGAACTAAGCTGCAAGCAGTGTTATTAAACAACACAAAAAAGGAAATGGTGCAGCTGATGCCGTACACCAGTCTAGCATAAAAGTATCTGTCTATAGAGTAACAAAATGGCACAAACTCTGAAGTAAGGCAGAGTATTAGGGTGGAAGCACTTGCACTTCTCACAGTGCAGGGTTGTGTAGCCTACAGGAAGTTCTGAAGCCCTCTGATGTGCAAATTATCTTCAGTAAAACATTTCAGCCAGTTACCACTCACTGCATAATGTTAAATGCTGCTGTCAATCCTTGTTTGCTTTTCAGTGTATTTTGAACAGTTTTACAGCCTTTAACTGTCAAATAAATATAAACAAAAAAAGGCAATTCAGTATTGCTTAAGAACCTACTTCCACTCCTTCATCTTTTTGCTAAATGACAAGGGATATTTTGAGAAACGAATGCATTCATTTACATTCTCTTTTTCAAGTTACTTCTTCACAGAAAATAAAGATTTTTACGTAGCCTGGTAGTCTGGCCTCACACTACTCCAGTTCTTGTTCCACAATACCAAAAGAAAGCATGTAATTGATTGTAGACTCTCTTTATCAGAGTCAATGCATTACACTCTGTTTCTGGACTACCAGTCACATTGGAAACCTACTTTTCCAGCTGCGGCTTTCCTTTCTTCTTGCTTACTGCAGACAGACTTCGTTTTTCCACTGTATGCTAGACAGAAAATACAAAGATGCCAGTCAAACAATAGAATTTGTATCATGAAAGCTGACAAAAAACCCTTCTAAACCAACAGGTCTGTGAGTCCAAGACTAGTGCGTTCAAAAGTGCTATAACCATCCAAACAAGTACTTGTTCAAAGCATCTGGGCCTCTAAAATAACGCATCTTGTCTTGTGTCGTGTTCAGCAAAACACTCAGAAAATTGCTACTTTAGAATTACTACTAGCTGTTAGTAATAACTCATATTTGACAAAGGAGTAAAACTTGCTAAAACTCTGAAATAATATGTCCAAATCGTTGTATTTGGACTTCCTTTAAAAAGAAAAGAACTTTTCCTCTGCTTTAGTAAATTAACTTTTTTCTTGCCTTAAGCTTTCAGTATTTCAGGCTTTGATGCAGCCTACCATTTCATCTTTAGAAGCAAATCTCAATTCATTACCCTGCTTTGTGAAATAAGGAAACTGTTTTTGTTTGGCTTGCTATTCCCCACATAACAATCAATAGCCAAATTCTGCATGTAATATAAGAGTAACATTAAGCAATCCTAACATCCAGGGCTTTTCAGATATAAGCAGTGAGCAATCCTCCTTCCCCCAATTTCAATAGATTATTTATAAATATTCTTCTCAACTGTATTCACAATGAGATTGAGCACTGAAGAGACACAAATCTCACAAAAAGTGTATATGCATCTAGCTATTAACTTTTTTCAAAGATTAATACTTAAGTTACCTAAATAACGCAGGTAAAATAGAAAGAAAACATTTAACCTGTTGTACCTCCTGTAGAATTAATACGATTTACTTATTAATACAGCTTCTAGTTTGTGCCTTGCAATAACAGAAATTGCCCAGGTGTTCTGAAATCCTCTCTGATGACAATAGGAAAGTGCCTGATTAGAAATTAACATTAGACTTTTCTGACTACTTGTATCCTACTGCAAAGTTTTATTTAATTCATAAACAAAATACACAACTTTCTGAGACAGTGGAAAGTAATTACGAGGAGTTTTCTAAGCAAGGTAAGTCAGCAGCAGCTTGAACTTCAACACGTATTTATACAATTTTAGCAGGGCTCTTCATCTTTTAAAGCTAAATCTCATCATGTGTAGTGGACAGTCTTCTCAAGTGTCTCAGAATATGGCTTTGAATGAAAAATAGCAACATACCTGGTCAAGTAGATTTGTACAGTGCTCTGGGTGCTGCTGGACAATACAGCTTTTCCTTCTCCAGTCCATTACCCCATTTTGCTCCGAGTGCTGTATGTTAAGGCTATCCAGTGAAGAACATTTTGCACTGCTAGTGCTGCTGAAAAGAAAAAAAAAACAAACTCAAGTTATGCTGATGTGAATGAACTTGCAGGCTTTTCTTACCAACATACACATTTTTGCATTAGAAAACCCTTGGAATTTTCAAGCAATTTAAATTACAAGAATTCTTGTGCTCTGAAGTTATACTAAGATCTGAACATAACTGGAGTTCCTTTTTCATTTGTCTACTATAATTTGACGCAAAATTCAGAACAACAGAATTTGTAGAGAACAGTAATTGAGAGAAGAGTTTCCTTGGATATTTCTACACACAAGGACATGGGTAAATTTTCTAGATATAAATGTATTTTGAATTAATTTTCTTTCTTCCTTATCGTTAATGACAAAGCTGGAATTACTTTGTAATCCCTATTCAGAATTCATGAGATATTTAAGAAAAAGAGTGCACAGTTACCTACAGATCACACTGCAGCTGTGTTTGTTTGAATTTCAAAATAGGCATCTTGCTTTATATTTTTACCTTCAGGACTGGTAGTTTTGAGTAGTGCTGGGAAAGGGGAGTTGCATTTGGCATTTACTTTGGACTTTATAATGCCTTCCACTGAAGCTTCGCTCTACAGCAGCCAGTCAGAAGCAATATTTAACTAGGTCTGCCACCAGTGGTCAACAAAAACTGCTGGAAAAACAGTCAGGGTTCTGACAGAGTCAGTAGAGCACGTGGATGTATAAACTGTTTATGTCTCACATAAAATCGTGCCTTACTGACAGGATAAAAAAAAGGAGAAAGAGTTAACACTTTTAAATTCTTATCAAAATACTTATGTTGGTAATTGAAAGTCCCTTTTAATTCAAGGCTGTTGGCAAGCTGCTTAATCAAGGTTACTGCAATATGAAATGTTACTCAGTTCCCATGATGGCAGAAATCCAGCTTATTTGAAAGTACAAGACATGCTGAAATTCCAGTAGTTACTTACCAAAGACCTCTGTAAATAAGTGTTCAAACTACTTACAAGATGTACAATAGAATATAAAAAAATTAATTTAAGAAAATGGCAAGAACCCAAGAAGGTCCTAAAAGACAGACATAAGCCCCTGACTGAAAAGATGCAAGCCAGGTCACTTTAGAAATTCCACCACATGGAGGTAAGTGATTTCACTGCCAAATACGCAGTCATTTCATGGAAGCTGTGATACTATGTATACTTATTTAGTATGTCTGATCTCACTCCTACCAGTAAATTTTTGGACTTTTCAAGAGTAAGGCTGCAATACTGAATGAAAACAAAGGTAGACATATGCACAATGTACCAATGCTATTTGAGATTAACTGCTCCTGACTCTAGACAGTTTTATGCATATTGAAAACAGAAGAGCTTCATTCTGTGCCATTTCTTTAGAACCCATAAGCAGCAGGCACAGATTTTAAGAAGACAGACACAAGAACAAGAGAGGAGTAACAGACCTCTAGCAGTAAAGTAGTAACCCATTTTTCCCTCTTAAACAAACAAAATAATAGCAAGTTAAAGGCGTTTCTTTCATACAGCTTTGTAAAAAGGTCTGTCCCTTGCTTTCCTACCTGAAAGACAGATCCTGAACTACAGTCAGCTTTAGTGTACTTCATTATACAATGAATAAAACAATTTCTATACCAGTAACTACATGCTACTAAGTTTGGATCCTGCACTTACGACTTCATAGTAGGCTGTATAACCACCAGTATAATCACATATTTTGTCAAGATGACACTCTCTTCTTGAAGAAATGTAAGTCAAAAGTAGGACAGTTAAAAAACAAAACAGACACAAACCACTAAGTTGTCCAATTAGTGAGTTCACAAGAATTTTGTCTGTTAAAGATCTGTGGACCTTAACCAACACTGTTTTGTGCTATGTTTATATTCTAATTATTGCAACTCCAGGTAATTTTCACCACAAGATAAATACATTTTACAGAGAAATCAACAAAACAAAACTTAAGTCTCAATACATTTTGTATCAATTTTTTCCCCTTAATTTAATTGAACCACTACACAACTATGTGCAAACATATATAAAGTTTTTGGTCAAAATATATTAATGGGTGAATTCACATTAGATACTTCATAGATCCACTTACAATTGACATAAACCAGCAAGGTATGCATGCATCTGCTAATAAGTAAGGGAAAGAATGGACTACCTTCTCCTATAAGGTCATCTTTGAAGCTACTTAAGCTTAAAATCCACTGGAAATTTTCAGTACAATCACGGGGATGTGTGCACATAGGAAAATATATGCCATACAGATTTACGCTACTCAGCTTATAAACACAAATCAAAATATCAATTGAAATAGTGAAGATTCACAAAATTTGGGGAAACGAGATAGCCAAATGACCTAGACCTACAGATTTAGAAATAGGATCATCTGAATTATTTTTCTAATACAGATTAATAACAACGTCACAAACAACAAAAATAAGACCAGAACACCTCACCCTAAACAAACAAAAACCTCATAAACAAGCTTTAATCTAGAAGGACACCTACTCTCAAAGCACTAACAAATGAAGTTCAGACACGTAGCATGGTCACATTACATCTTAGTACCTACTTGGCAACAGGACCTTTTCCATTATGTTTCTTGTGAACTGATGTGTGTTGCATTACATCTGGAAAAAATAAACAAAGCATAATTTCAATAGCAATTCCCCTTTCTTCTTTTAGATCAATCCAGTGAATTCATCTTTCCATCACTACCAGACACACAGCAGAAGACAGCTCCATTAAACAGTGTAAGGCTCAATTTACAGTGCTGAAATTAACAGGTGTTGCATAGAGGACAGATCAGTTCATACAGATGATATAATCAAGACTCTTTACCTTCCATTTCACAGAAGAATGAAACAGAAAGAGAGAAACTATGACAACTGTTAATGTTTGCAGACCTCTATATTTAATCCTAAAGACTAAATGTGTGACTATCACTCAGCATGAAAGAACAGAGAAAGAAGACAGGAATGAGTCAGTAAAAACACAAAATTTTGTAATTTTTTCTGAACTGCTGAAATTATTCTCGAAACTATGTCACACATTCTGAATAACAAAGAAGACAAATCTTAAACAAAAGTATTGCATTCTGAACGTCAAAATTCACTATGCAAGTAAAGCTTTACAAATTACATCCGACTAAAAGGGATACTACTCCAAGGCCAGACTGGATGGGGCTCTGAGCAACACGGTCTAGTGGAAGGTTCCCTGCCTGTGGCAGGTGGGCTGGAACTAGATGATCTTTAAGGTCACTTCCAACACAAACTATTCTATGATTTTATGAAACAAAAATCAAGAACAGTTTATCCTTTTCTTTAAGGCAATTGTTAGATTTTAACAAAAGCAACTTTTCTTAATTCCAGCTGTGATGATCTTAGCATTCTTGGTATCATTTTGCCTGGACTCTTCTCAATGCTACATGTAAGTCCAAATTATGGTTTAAAAATCTAAGGAAAGAAAGTATCATAATTTTTAAGCTTCTGGTAACAGTTCACTGAAATGGCACGAAAGGTGTTCTGAAACGCATTTGTAGTTTCACCAGGTGAAGAGATTAATGTATATGAAAGTATGTGGAAAACTATTTGAGCAATTTCCAAATATATTTTAAATTTACTTGGTGTGTTCTTAACTCTGAGGAAGGATATGGCAATAATTTTTTCGTAAGAAAAAGCTGTTCAAACTGCATATGTGGATTACTGACTGCACATAAGATGAACTGCAAACTTATTAGTTATTAACGTGTAACAGGATAAGAGCGCTGTCATTCTGTGAAAGCTAGCCTAAGTGTTCCATGGTCTTTGTTCACCTATCTGTCCCATTTCTCATCTTTTCCACCTACCAGGAGCTTTTACTTGTTTGCTACCAAAAACAATATAAAGCTGGCTTGCTGTTGCTTTCAGAATGAAATCATTGACCAGCCACTAGGCTGCTGCTTCCATATATGAACTGTTTTTGAGGTACTGGAAAAGCACCAGCTTTCAGACTGTAATCAATACTCACTACAAACTTATTAACAGTCCACAGTATATAAAAGCAGCATAGGTTAAGAATAAGAAGAGGAAAACCTGAACATTCTTTCTGTGTAAAACCAGAAGCTAAATAAATTTGGCACATTTAAAGCAAAACAGTCTGCAACTCTTGAAATGCTGCACTCAACTCTGAACCCTGGTAACTGAAAAATAAATAGGTAAAGATGTGAAAAGCTACAAATAATCTTCGTTTAAGTAAATTGTAACATATATCTTCCTGCTTGTTCAATACAGTTGTGAACTTCTGCCTTCAAGCTATCCATAAACACTGCCACTCCTTGAATTATAGAGGAACCTCTTAAGGAAACTGCTGGAAGTACACAAAAATTCTTCATTTGCATAGCAGATTTCATTCAAATCTCTCATTTTGTATCAAGGAAGAAATCCATCAAGTGTATGATTTCCAGAACTGAGTGTGGTAAAATATCTCAAAGAATCAACCACCTTTGAGTACACAACTACCTTCCTCCTGACTTGAAGCTTCTGAACTGTCCTCCTTGAAGTGTTCTGGTGTCTTAACCGTCTTCAAAGAGGGTTGTAAGTTACCTGCAGAGAATAAAGTTCATGTAGTAACTTTATAGATCTTGAACAACTGGACAGTTCCTGAATGCTTGCACTAAACTGGAAATCAGGGAAATGGAAGACTGAACTTACTGGTTCGTGTGTGGCAACAATTTGAACATCACCTGCTTCAAAGCAGGCCATCTCCAAGAGTAAAGGCTCTTTAGAGCTACTTTTATTTTGAAGAAAATAGTATTCAAAATAATTTTAAAGCTATGGTGCAATTTCAAAACATCTTGATTGTGGTAATATTAGAAATATTCCTATTATGCTGCACTTCAGATTTTGCTTCATAATTTTTTTGTTTTACAATAGAAAATGGGAGGAGACCAATGATAGTTACTAGCATTCTTCTGCAACAAATTACACTCCTCCATCCTCAAATCATTCACCTGCCAAAAGACACACAGTCTGGGCTAAAGTCTTCTAGTGCCCTTAACACAGTCTTCACACACAATTTTTGCCTTTTCATGCCAGATGGGATGAAAAAAAAAGAAAGAACAATATTAATAGTTTTGCTGGAGAATTACCACTGCCATGCGCTGAAAAAGGACTTAGTTTAATAATGAATCCAATTCTATGAGTCTACTCTTTCCCTCTCAAAGTGGTCCAAGTTACTGCAGGTAAAAGCATCTGAAAGCTGTTGCTTAGGAGCTTGAAACATTGATGGGAAGATCCTTCTGGATATTGTCTGCATTGAAGAGACTAAATCCCCAGAGATTATGTTTTAATAAAGTCTGTTGGAATCAAAAGTTTACTCCAACCTGAATAAGTGTCTAAACAACTCATGTTACGAACCAGGAGTGAGCTAATTGATTTCCTCCTTAATGGAACCACAGTGGCATAGTTAAACTTACTGAACATATTCAGTGTGAGATCCCAACTATTATTTAAGGTATAAAGACCTGCCTAGCAGGATTCCAGGAAACCCAAACAATAAACCCAGAAAAACACAGAGGCCGACAATAAAAAAACCCCTCATGAGCCACTTAATTGAAGTGATTTTGGCAACAGGTGGGATGAGTACTTTTGTCTTAGTACAGCTTCTATTAGCCTGAACCACAGGAAACAGGAGTGCAAGCTACCCCTGATGAGTCATTCATGCTTAAATTTACCCCACTAATTCTCTTTGACAAATGTTTTCTTAATATCTAACTCAATGTCAGGGCCCTTTGCGTTGGGAGTTGCATTTGAGCTCAAGCTCTTGGCTGCGGTGCACTGCAGGCACACCTGTGCCGGGCCACATACCTTGCTGATCCTGTTCTTAACCCTGACCTACTGACTTTTTTTTCTGTCTTCACCTCAGACCTGCCTCACTGCTTTGGAATCATCTGTAATCACCAGGTTCTTGACTGCCCCTGGTCCTCATAAAAAGTTAAGCCTAGTGCTCTCTTGTCAAAGAGAAAAGATCATGCTCTTTAACATTATGACTCTGGTATTTGAAAATTTAAATAATCTTCCATGAGAGACTTTCCTCCTCTCTGTGAAACAATGAAGTTCCTCATCTTATCTGTCATATGTTCCAGTCTGACAAATCCTCATGCACTTTCATATATCCTATTATTTATTATTATAAAAATTATCTCATATTCATGATCCCTTTACAACCTGTAAGACTTCCTACAGATTTGCCATTTACCTATTTTACCTTTCCGATCTACCTACCTTGCAGATCATTTCTGCCCTACACTAGCCCAAAAGTCACAAAAACCCCTACAGCTTCCACCCTAATCACAATGCCTCTATCTCATCATGGAGAGAAATACATTTGTCACAGATCGCACACATCATTTCAAATTAAAGTCAGCTGTCATTCCCCTATTTTTTCCAAACACATTTCATCAGTCTATTTGAAATCTCCAACTTATTCAATTCCTTTCTAAGATCTTCTGCAACTTCTGAGTCAGCAGCCTCATAGTCAATGCCTTAACTATCATGGTGCATTACACACACTGAAAAAAGAAAAGACTCAACAGAAACAAAGATCACATCCTAAGGCATCCACAGAGAGAAGCCAAGCTTTGGTTGCACAAACAATTTGTAATACATAAGTAGGTAAGAGGTTCACCAAAGAAATCTCTGCAATGCAAATGCTCAGAACACAATTCTGTATATTCTAAAATTAGGGCCATCCCATCACTTATGCACTGTGTTATGTATCCCCCAAAAATCTCAGTTTAAATATCAAGACAGATGCTTAATCTACAAAAGAAAACAAAAGCTTGGGTCAGTTCAAGCTTTTTGTTTAAGATATGGTAAAAGAAGTGCCAAACTGTTGAACATACTCAATTCATAACTATCTATTTTAATAGCACAATAGTAGAGAGGAAAAGAAAGAAAGAAAAGAACAGAAGCTGATGATACATAGTATGTTCCAATGGTCAAAAGTCTGAGTATCTGCTCAAGCAACTATTCATTGGCCAGGAGTTCAAACGCAACCAGTGGAATATAATGCATCATGAATACAGGATTATAAAACTCTAATTAGGCATGACAGCAAGAATACTTTTTTAAAGACTTTTTATTATATAAAACAGTATTAGGATATTTCTTACTGTGAGTGTGCAAAGATTCTGATGAAATTGATTGGAAGAAGTTGTATACTCTCTGATTCTGCAGAAAAGCTTGCGATGTATTTGAAAATAGCTGCCTGAAATTTAAGTGAGAGTTTGTTAAACTGTAAATAATAGAATCATCAGAAGAACATAAAAAATTACTACAGTACCATTTAAAAGCAAAACAGGTAGTTCTTAAGAAGTCCAAACATTTCAAATTGTATGTTCAGAAACAATGTTAAATGCTACTTCTGAGCTTTGCTGTTCAGTGCTAGTGTAAGGCTGGAGCACAGCCACTGCAAGAAATTGGTATGATGCTTTTTTTTTTTTTAATTTAAAAAGGTAGGTGCTTTGAGCGATCCCAATTCAAACATTATAGCCACTCATAACATTTTATCAAAGAGGAGTTTGGACTAAGTCCAAAAGCAGTGGACCTTATATTTTAACATTTATTTTTTTTTAAACTGAGAACACATTTAATTTCCCAAAACAATGCACCTCTTTCTTTAAACACACTGCAGAGCTTGAAGCCAGAAGCTGTCAAGGCCAAAAAAGAGCAAGAATTGCCCCAAAGCAAAACACATTTATATGATTAAATACAAAGTTGAATTTACCTATAATGTCAGTAATTTAATTTCATAATTATTTTCGAGAGCAAAGGGTAGAATTCTCAATATTGCTCTGGACTGGCCTGAGTCTGTTCCCAAGAGGTCAGTGACAAATTCTATTAGCTTCAGATAAGACAACAGGCCAAGAATGAATGGTTTGCACTTCTCACACACCAAGGTTTCAGTTATTACTTGCCAGGAAGCACTACTCAGTTCTATTTCTTTGGAGGAGGGGCAGGGGAGAGCAATTTTTGGCTACTGGGCACATATTTAAACCTCCAAATACGTATATATTTATGCTAAAACTGACACTGAAAGAAAATGGAATTTGTATATAATAATGCTATTCTCTTGAGATTATTCATGTAGCATTCCTGTATACTCACAACATAACTTGCAAATTGTAATTATAGTTGCTTACTATAATACAGTTGGGTGTGTTCAAAGGTTATCTTCAAGATGAGTCTCTTGGGTTCATAATTACTGTGCAGTGAGGCTTCGCAACCTTTCTGTATTACAATACATTCCCTTCAGTCAACCTCTATTTAACAGGTTTATTGATTTAAACCCACTATATTTATTAGCCAAAACTGTTCACACAGATTTAGTTTTGGATTGACAATCAAGCCAATAAAGACAGACAAGTACTACAGATAAAAATTTAAAAAAATAAAAAAATTGGGAAGGGGGAGGTTGAGGCACAGAGTGGCTCCACATATTCTTTAACTAAAATATTAGGACAAAATGTTTGGACCCACAGAACATTATGAGTAGGAGTTTGAAAAGCAGTGCCTGATTCTTCAAGTACCCCAACTCAAGAGACAGTGGCTAACATGATGAATAATTTGTTTCCAACAAGGTTGAACAATTCTGACAGAAAAGGACCAACATAAGATATCTGTAGCAAACAAACAGAACAGGTAGGCACCCCCAAATTCACATTGCTGTTCTGAGTTACAGGATTTGACCAACATGTCCCACGTCCCAGCAAATAGTAGATTATGTGGTATGGGCTATTTTCTTATAAATGTGTGAGCCACTTCTAATATACATGGTTCTCATACACATTTATTATATTATATATATACACTGTTTATTATATTATCATATATTACTGCTTATTCCTTTTAAATTCTCTATCCTGAGTATCATAAAAGTAAAACATATGCACTCAAGTTACTGTTTCTAGTATTTCTAAATGTACACTTGTATAATGGAGGTAATATTCTTGCAGAAGTGCCAATCATTGCTATAAAATGCTGCTCAGGACAAATATTTTCGTAAGTGTAAAATTACTTCTAAGAAGGAAGTCAGCTAAATTTAATTAAAGCCTCAATTTCAAGAAAAGAGTAAAAGAGTCAAGAGTATCTATTTCATCACTGCGTTCCCATTTTCTTTGTAAATTGTTTTCAGGCAGCAGAATTTCCACTGTCCGTAGCAGTCATGTAGTTTGACTTCAATCACACCCCAGGTGATGCATTCCAGGCTATTTGCTAAAACATTTACCTGATTATGGGCTCAAGATCAGCATGCCTTCGTTCTTCCCTCTTCTGAAAACCCTGATTTAGTGCTCTTAAAATAGTCTTGTCAAATGCTTCAGAAGACAGTTCCTTTGGGAGCTGAGAAAAAGGTTAATATGAAAAATGAGTAGCTGACATTTTGTTCACTATAAGTCTACGTACCTTTTGGTATCAACAAGAAACTCTGTTGTTCCAGTTTGAGTAACATAATTTACAGACCAAAGGTACGACAAATCAACATCATTTAGTTTTGCAGGAGAAATACTTTGCTGTAAATTCTCATGGCAAATCCAGGTGTAAAACTGTTTAAAGCTCTATTTGAAAGAATTACAATCAGAAAATTACCAATACTATGTTCTTTTCCAGAATAGTTTACGGCCTTTTTTGATTAATTTCTTTAAATACTTCACACACAGAAATTAGGTCTGAAAATAACATGAAAAAAATAACCAAGGAGGACTGAATGCACTGTACTCACTATCATCGCTTATCTATATAAAACTATTTTAAAGGAACAGGAGAAGAAAGGAGACTGTTTCAGATATATAATACACTAGACTCCAGTCTATAGTTGCTTATCTCCAGGCAATACAGAGATTAATCAAAAGCAAGTCCCTGTCCAGCTCCTATCAACAGTGAAACTTCTTATCAAAATTCATTATAACTGTTTCCAATACCAGTACTACAAAGTGAGGTCTTCTGTTGTTCTAGTTCGGCAGGCAAAATTCTTGCTACTAAAGAGCAAGTCTATTTTAAAAGAAAAATATTCCCCAGAACAAATTTTTTTCACATTTACAACTTCCAAAATAATGTACTTAAGTACATCAAAGCTGATCAAAGTTGTTCATCTACATTTCTTGAAAAGAAAGTATTTTAATTTTGGGGAAATTAAAAATAAACTGCCATAGCAAAAATGCTTTTTTACTAAGGTTCAAAGCTATTGCTAATGTGGTTAACACCTGCCACCAGTTATCACCACCAGCACAAAGTAATTTACACTAGAGCAGCACCTTCCTCTTGTATATTTGGAATACACCTGATCCAGAGTGCCAGCTGGATATTACATCCTGCTAGTGGTACAACAGCACAGCACTAACTAATCCTTGCACTGAATGCTGTGTCTGATGTAGATAATTGCTTGGTAACATAAATAAAAGGGACCTCTGGAATGGAGACAGACAAGTGCTGTTAGTATTAGATTAGTACAGTGCTATAGTACCTGAAATGTCTTAGATATAAAACCAGAAAGATGGGCTGAAAGCAGCTGTTCTTAACAGACCCTCTGGCTTTAATATGCACCACTGTGGAACTCTGACCAAAGAATTAGTCAGTATTAACTAAAAGGTACCAAAAAGTTCCTGCAGAAGCATGGGAATGAGCAAACCTCCTGTCCTAGTGTTTTGTATGTAAATTTGTCTCTGGAAACTTGTCAAATCTTTTTCTTTAAAACTTTCATTAAGAGGAATGCAATTCCTTCTGTAGTTAAAGATTCAGTTACACAAACCCAAGATTAGGTGCTTAACTTCAGCTAATGAGATAGCCTGGTTACTTACAAGCTTATTAATCCTCCACGTATGTGGGTAACTTCCTACATGCAAAGAACTTTTCATGATTATCACCTAAGAGAAGGTGCTCTTTAAATATAAAGCATCCAAGTTATCCCATCTACTACCTTACTATTCCCACCAATGCTTCTATTCTGAAACAATTTTTACAATTATCTTACTTCTATCACAAGCAACTTTGGAATTTGCCATCAAGTATTTTGACCACTCATTTCTGTCCTTAGGAAATGAGCATACTACTTAACAATGCCATGCAGACTGGAAGCAAGAATAACAAAAAGTGCATATGAAGTGGACAGCATTTGTACTTCATGTTTTTTAAAGCAAGGTGTTAGTTTTATCCTGCTTTACTTAACAATTCTCTCTTTCTTCTATATTTATGGCTATCAAACCAAATATATTTTTCAGCTCTGCATTTTCTACACAGAACACCTTGGCGAGCTCATAGCACTTGTGGCTGTCTTCCTCTTGTTCTGCCATCTCCTATATATCTAGACTCTGCACACAGAACACTCTACACCTGTCAAACAGGACAGCTCTGCAACATTCTGGATCCTATCTGTTTTTCTGGCTCCTCCTCCTGGCAGCAAGTAGGTTAAAGGGGGTTCATTTCAGACACTGGTGTTTGTATTACAGAGGTAGGAGAACATGAGGCATGCAGCTGAATGCTCATCCCAGAGCTGCACAGGATCCTGTATGACAGTCCTGCTTTCAGGGTTCTCTTCAGGAGGAGATGCATGTACCCTATGTTGCAGGATAACCCATCTGCAACAACACATGCCATCCCTAATTCAAATCCTCACAAATCAAGCTCTGGGAACTCTTGGAACTAGATATTCCAACCGGATTAAAGCAGTTGTGAATACTCACTGCTTCATTTCTACGAAGCCTGAACATAATGTTGATAATTTAAACAGTGAACAAGACAATGACCTTTGTACAGTCACTGGCTTTCCACTTGCAATTAACACTGCAGTTAAGAACACCAGATGCCACCAAAATATATCCAAAGCAGAGCTTTCATTAGTGCCCAGAAGAGTTTACATATAGAATTTCCCAGAATAGGTGGGACCCAAAGTATTAAACACTGGCAATGAAACATAAGTCGGAGGTCATTACGCAGATGGGGCCTGCACATGGCCTATGCACACAAACGCATTCCCTGCTTGGGGCGGGGGGAAAACAACGGAGAGAACTTTTAGGTTTTTTAAAGCACACACAGGCATATATAGTTGATAGATTTTCCCTGATTTTATCTCCCTGTGATGGTGAATAGGCCTGTCTTTGTTCTACTGAAGAATACAACAGTTAAATTACAATCTGTTATGCTTATGGCTCTGCCTCACTAATTAAAAATAACAAATGATGCTCTTAAAGGTCATTTTAATGGACACAGGAATAAGCAGACAAGTATGTACCGATACATGAACTCTGTGGGGAGTATTAAAAACTCGTCTGGTAGCTTTATGGTAGTTCAATTAAAACTGTAAGAGCCATTTCAGATGAGACAGTATCCTCATGGGAAACTACCCAAATCTTCTGCAGAGTTGCTTCTTCTCTCAAGATGCGCCATCACAATATACATGATTTAAATGGTTAATACAATTGACAAGTACAAAAATCTGCTAGTGTGCTTTTGCTTCTCTAATTACATCCCAGAAATCACAGCTCTCCTAGGCCACTTCTGAAGTTGCAAACTTCATGCGTAAACACTACTTTTATATTTCAGTACATACTTTTAGCAGGAATTCCTGAAGCTCCTGGTGTGTTTTTGTTACACATGTTACCGAAAGATCAGACCAGGTTACCTAATAAGGAAGGAAAAGAGAATGAGAAAAGTTTCTTTTTTCAAATATCATACCAATTAGCTGATCTGAACATTTCCATAATTCTGACAACCTCGGGACCAGGCAAAACAGGGATAATGGTGTACTTTTTCAGAGACACATACTTATTTTGAGTGTACATTTTAGGCTCACTTTCATGTTATTTGTGGCTAAAGGGAGCATGAAAAAATCCAGGGAAATGCAATAAAGTCCCTGAAGATTACTGACTCAGAAAGAAGCCAGGCAGAAGGCTCTGTAATTACAGAACTTGTATCAAACAGACATTACTAACCACAAAAAACAGCTACCAGAGAAAAGGACTGTAGGTCAGATATCTTGGATTGAGTTCTCACTACCATTATCAGGAGTCAAAATGAAACAACAAAAAAAATCTGTTTATATTACTTATAAAATAATTTTATCTGCCTCAGACTTGAATCTTACACAGTCATATACAAGTTGTAGACTACAAGTCCTAAAAAGTAGTGCAAGCTACTAAAGAAGTTACTCAAGAATCAGACATAAAATTTCAGTAGCTTATTGTTCTGACACAACATGTAAGTAGTAAACCAGCACCTTCACATGCATATTTTGACAAAAATAAGTAAGCTTGGTTAGATGAGTGCTGCCCAGCTTTAAGCCCACTTCTGGGCTAAAGATTCCGATTAGTTAGATGGGAAGATTCTGTGTAATGAGAGTGGACATGAAAATTATAAACATTCATTTACTCCCAAGAGTGGACAGAATAATGTCAACCACTAACTGCCTTCAACTTAGTCCCCAGAAATGCCAGCTACCCTCAGTGCCCTGCAATTGTTGTTAGAACCTTAAAAAAGCAGTGCCTGGATAAGCACAAAATGGTCTGTAATGAGGAGCACAGTATATACCTGCACAGATGAGGAGAGAAAACTCCTTAAAGAACTGAGGAGTTTCAAGATTACTGAAATACTTCCCAGAATATCTCCACATTCCCCCTTTAACAAAGAAATTCAAAACCATTGTCAAATCTGTCTACATGCTGAATTTTCAAAATAGTGAATACTGATAATCCATATAGGATTTCTGTACAAACTTCTCCTATCTACTATTTTATTTTTCCTAGTAGTCACTTTACAGACTATCTGGAAAAAAGATCTCTGACAAGGCTGAAATATTTGGGCAGGTTAACCTTAAAGACTTTGAAGGCTACAATCCACATATTACTGTCCTCAACAAAAGAAGTGTGCATCCATTTGGAGAATACAATACCAAACTCTGGGATCAACACATCAACTGTCAGCTCAAAATGGCTTTTTTCTTTTTAAGTTTGCCTCTTTAAAGATCTCCAGTAACCCATGTCAAATGGCCAGTTACAATGTTTGATGTAAACCATTCTTTTTTGGATGAAAAAGAGGAACATTTAGTTTTATCTTCAAATCTGGTATACTACCAGACTCGCATCTACTGGCAAAATGACTCATAATGTTAATCAGCCCTTATTAAGAAAATTACTGCTTTGATTCAATTAGAACATCACCACCAACAGCCTTAGCAGCAATTATTTAACACCTACAGTCTTTAATACCAGACCTCAATACTGAAAGTTTCTCTTATGTAGTATTAAGCAGCAGCATTTCAGTTTTAAAATTCACCCACTAATTGTTTCACATGCTGCCCTTAGCTATTACAATACATGAAGACAATACGAGGTAAGCCTTCCAGTTTGTGGCCACTTTCCAGCTTGTTTGCTTTTACCTAAACAAACAAATAAATGAACCAATTCCCAGTTTTCTCAAAAAGCACAAGAGCCATCCTCATACAGTAAACATCCAGAAATGAGATCAAAGATGACCATAGGACTCTAAGCAACATATATAGCTGCAGACACAAGAACTGTGCTCCTATGCCACTTGAGCAAACGACTGACTAGTGTCAGAAATCTTACACTGTTTAGTGTTAGAAATTTCACACTGAAGCCAAGTTTCCTGGAATGGTATCCCATACCCAGCTACGGCTGGTGTTTTACACCTTCCCACCTTATGCTCACAATTACATAAAACACCTGATTTGCACAAAGAAATCAAAAGAATTACAGGATAATTCAAAGAATCTCAAAATTGCTTTCTCAGCTGGTATTTGAAAGAAGCTGTATGTATTTATGCATAGAGATATCACGAAGACAATTACTTTAATGTTCAAGGTTATTTGCTTACTTTGAATGTGTACTCCAAATGTTTGTCAGCCCTTTTTCTTGGTACTCCTTTCAGGGTTATCTTCTCAATGTGTACAGCTGAAAGAAAAACACCTTATTGTGCACTCCAAAACAAGAGTCTGAAAATGTTCCCTACTTCCCCAGGCACTCCGAACACGCCTGTAAGCTATTTCCTGACTCACGCAGCCCTACTCTTCTTCAGGAGCTGTTTTATTGTAACAAACTGCCGTGGGGCAGGTAGAACCTTGTTCTCACAAGTATTTCCCTGGCCTAACCAAAACCTATTCAGTGAAGATCATGGGACTCTGTGCATTATCCAAGAGCTTATTTAGACCAAAAGTCACATAACTACAACAACGTAACCACTATAAGTGAAAAGACAATAAAGAAAGTCAAATTGCATCTTTATTCAAGAAGTAACAACCGCTGAGAAAAGCGAGAGACAGCGTCTTCTACACCCCAGTTTCTGAAACATCGAGTAATAATGAGGACAAACTAAGTCCAAATAACTACATTTCTGAAGGGCACTTAGGTGAAAGGAAAGAGTTGGGGAAGGCCTGAAGAAGACAGAAATAGAGTGTTGGCAAACAGAAAACAAAGAGAAGAAGCATAAGGCTATTACAATCATACTGTAAAGAGTGTCATTAAACTCAACTGAAATGGAAGAAAGGTACTCTGAGCATTTGCTGCTTTAACATTCTTTCCCCATAGCCTACTCAGAAATAGGCAAGTTCTGGCTATGACTTGGCAAGCAGCAGCACCATACGGCTTTCAGGTCCTGGAGATTTTCTTGCAGGCACACAACATTGCTTGGGTAATACTCCATTTAAAAAACCCTTATGTGGCTGAGGTGAGCTTTCCACTTTTGGTGCTATGCTGGCCAAAGAATTCAACAGAATTTTATTCCAGTACAAGCCTGAACACATCTTTACATGTAAAAAAATTTTATTTAAAAACAGCTCACCTGTGCTACACCATCAGTGCTTCCTTTCAAAGCTTTCAAGATTTTTTGGAGGGAAGTGGGTTGTGTTAATAGCTAATGTTTTCCTTCCAGGTTTTATCTACTATTTTAAAGTAGGTTTTTGGGAACTACTCATAACAACAATATCTAAAAAAACCCCAAAAACCTCCTGTAAGCATACGTTACAAAGCTTCTTCTTGGATATTACCATGTAATATAAGGTCAACATTTCTTAGTGAATTTTGTTGAAGTTACAATTAAAGTCTCATCCCCATCAAACATGCCATTTCTAAGAGAACTAAGTATTGGCAATTTCTTTAAAGGAACAATAAGCCAGCATATAAGCCCAGTGATAGTGCTACGGCTTCCAATTCTGTCAGCAGAGAGACAAATACTGAGTGTGCTGGTATACACTGGTAATCCTCTATCTGGGAGTTAAGGAACTAGACAATCATTCCATTTTTAGCAGTTAATGAAGATTAATTATTACAAAGCAAAGAAATCTGATATGAGCTAAAGATGCCAGACAGTAACATACATCAATGTTCTATGAAAAGACAAATGTTTAGTGACCTTAATTTTTACCTGTCTGGTATAGATTAAAGTGCTGTTAGAAGAAGGACCACCATGTAATGTGAGTTTTGGTGCAGTAAAATTTCTTAATGGCTAATGTTAAAATTAATACCACAGTTCATATGCATAAGTTAATTAAAAACTTGATTCCCATGACTGGAACTGAGAATAGTGGTTTAAATTGCATTTCACTACATGCATATATTTAGCATACATAATTAGGAATCCAAGACTATTAACATTCCCAGACAAGTTTTATTTCTCTAATGAGGCTGTGCTTATTTTAAACTACTGAATGTTCTCAGGGCTAAAAATTTGTGCTCAGGTATAAAAAAATTATATCACAATGCAGTATCTTCAACTGCCTTAACTTCTTTATGTTGTTCTTGCACACTTCACTGTAATATGTGATACAACAGGTAATTACACTGTTGTTCCTGCACAGCTTCAGTTCCACAGTGTCAACAGACTGCTTTAAAATTCTGCTTCCACAATCACATTTTAAATATTCTAAATGGCTAGACCAAGAAGAAATGTTTGAACATACAAACCAATGAGGGATGTTACATTTCCACATCCATTCTGGATACAACACATGCATTCGGGATGATTAAGTCAAGCATGTATACATGACACTGCTTCCATTTTAAGTCTAAGTCAGATTTTTAAAATTCATATTCATCACAGCTGACAATAAGTTTTACTATCAGTGGTATTTCAAACCCAGTAAGGAGATTTCTGTAGCAGGGACTCTCTATCACATAACCAGGTAGTAAAGATCACAAAATTATTCTGATCCTCCACTGTGGTTTCTCACTATGATAATACAAATGCAGAGAAATACTTAAGCTTTTTGCTAGATTAAATTATTCAACTTTTCTGTGCTTCTGTTACTTAATTCAAGAGTGTTACTAAAGAGATTCTCTCTTTGTGTTTCTAATTCATGAATATGAACACTTGAAACTCGTAAAAGGATTTGAAACAGGTTTGTTGTCTGTAATCTGCCATAATCTTTCTCTGTTTCTTTTTCGTCAAGGAATCAAAAACTCTCAAATTGCCAGTCTTCAAAGTGCAATTAAATCTCCACAGTAGAGAGATGTTTATGAGGACAAAATAAATAGCAATTGTTTTCCCATATTGTCAGTTCTTTACTATCTGCAGACTATCTGTTGACTAATTTTGAGTAGACAAGTGATTGGCCAATCCTGTTGGAGAATAAAGGGCAAGAATAAATCTGTTTTCAATAATGCTTATTTCTTCAAAGAGAAGAAATTGTGCTTGCAATTGCATATTAGAGTTGTTTATGCTCAGAAGCCTCGTTCTCATTCTCCCCAACAGAGCCAGAACACTGACTTCTATGAAAGCCTCTCACTTCTCCAAACTGCCACTTCTATAAAACCTGCTAATATGTGGGTTTTCTTTTTTTTTTTGATTAACCAAATATAACTGAATCAAGCAGCAAAATCCATCCATTGTTTCACATTATCTTCCTGTTTAGTTTTGCTTAAAAAAATCTAAATACTCGTATTAACACTGTTGATAAAATTGCATTAAATGTTCTTGTTTTCTTCCAAATCCCATCCCTTTTTTCAGTGGAAAGCCAATTTGCAATCAATTTTCATGCTTTCATTCACTATTAGTTAGCAGTGAACATGAATGACAACTTGTTATAATAAAGAAAAGACCAGGTACGCAGCAGAGAAGCTATTATACCTAAAATCATTGCAGACTGCTTCTCCTCTGGACGAACAGGAAGACAGACACAAGATTTCTACAACTCCAGGCAAATTTCAGTGTTCAAAAAACCCCCTTACAGTGTTCCTCAAAATGAACTGCAGACAACGTACCTTCCCGCTGAGGTCTATGGGAAGCCATCGGTAGTCCATCATGAGGTGCTGTGGTTCGTTCTAGCAAACTGGTCTCATTACTCGACATGCAGTCACTGTGAGAAAAGTCATTCTAAATAGAGAAGGAAAAAAAAGGAAGAGTCTTAATAGAATGTCTATTATTAAGCCTGACTCTAAACAGAAAATATTAAAAAAAAAAAAACAAACAAACAAACACAAAAACCCCAACAAACCACGCTTTACTTGGTATTCTACAGGAGAAAAATCCTGACAGTGGCAAAAAGATCATCATTAGCCACTTCAGTTTTTTCTTTCTTTCTTTCTCTCTTTGTTTTTCACTTTCTTTCTTTCTTTTTCTTTCTCTCTCCCTTTCTCTCTCTCTCTCATTCAGGATCAAGAACACTGCTCCACTGGAAGACCTTCATAAAAGATGGGTAGAGGAAAAATATAAATCTCCAGACAGTACTCTTTAAATACAGGAGGTAAAAGATTCTAAAATTAAGTGCCAGAGTATATGTGGTTTTCTTCTCCTCAAGGACTTGTGCAATGGGATTAGACAAATCATCAGCCAAGACTAGTTACCTCATTTGTTAAAGACTGTCACAACAGAATGACCAGAATGAGGAAGCACAGAGAGGGCAAAAGACATCTGAATCCCCCCCAGTTTGCCAATTCTTTAACAAACTTCTTCAGACGTGACAGATGTAAAGCTGGTTTAGTAAGATGAAACCAGCTTTAAGCTGGTACATCATTTGTAGCATGGGTACAAACTGTGGCAACACCTAACAATACATCCAACCTATGCAGACCCAGGAGTGTACAGGCATCAAACCTGCCCTGGGCATGCTGGTAATCTAACTTTGATCAGTGACATCAATAGCAGTGCACAGTTAGCAAGTGCCTTTAGACTGCACTGCAGATGGTCTGAGGAAGTAAATGATGTTTTAGCTGTTTCATCTAAACCAGTGTATGGCTTGTGCTCTACACTGAGTGTCAGTAATTTCAGGCTTCAAAGCCATCAGATTTAAAATATAAAGCATGCTTTGTTTCTTCAAGATAAAATTCACACCAGTCCTCAGTCACTCAGTAAACAATCTCAACAAACATCTAATAAATTATGTGTGCAATGTCAGATATGGAATAAGAAATGAAAATAGCTGTATGTAAATGAGATTGCATTTTAACAGCTTTAGCAAATTTCCAAGTTTATTTCACTAAAAAAAAAACACCAAAAACCAAACAAACCAACACGCAAGCATGCTCTGGAGAGTCACTTTCAGATCTCCTCAAAAATCACACTGATACTGTTTTGGAAGACATTTTATAACAACAGTGGACATAACCGAACCAAAGTACCTGCACTTTTTAAGTGCTAACTCCTGGTCATGCATTATTCACAGAACTGTTGGCATTTGAGCACTAAAGCTACCCTGTTAAAACTCTGATTCATTTAAGACTGTCCATAAAAAGCAGAACTAGTAACTGGCTATGTCCAAACTAACAAGTTTAGCACATATTTTGGTGTGAGAGTTAAAGTATTTCTGTCAGGAAATCAAACAACTGAACCAAGACTTCTAGTGAAGATCAATGTCAATTCTCTGGTAGAGATAAGGTCTTAGACTACAGCAACATGCTGTGCCAAAAGCACTTTAATATTTTTTGTCCATACTGCATACAGAGGATGATAGACATCTGGATTAACTCTGACAGAGACTCTCAAACTGTTCTATTTGTTTTACTTTACTAGGAAGTCTTTTTCCACCTCTGAAATGATCAGCATAAGGGCTGAAAGCACTGCTTCATTCATCCCACCTAATCACCTTATAAAAAATTCACAAATAGATCTAAAACCAATCAAATTTACAGTCAGATCTTCTTTTGTAATCAAAGTCAGACTATTTGTTTTGATTAACAAAAAAATAAGCTACAGTCTGTTCTAAAAAAATAATTGCTAGCTAAGAAGTCAATGAAATCATGAGCAGTTTTTAGGAGAGATGTAGAAATAAGATTTACTTCAAAGAAGTATTCTGTTTAGCTCATGTCAAAGAAGCATTAAATGCTGCTCCTACACCTAATACTACAAAACTGCTTCTCATACAGCACATACATCATCACTGTAACAGCATTCAAGTACTTTTGCAGTGAATTATTCTAGAGTGGTTACTTTTCTATCCATGGCAGCATTCTGTAACAGGCAAGCTACAACCACATTTGAGTCCTGATACGGATGGTTATAAAGTCCTGATACGGATGGTTATAAAATCATAACTATAAAAAACCCTCATAATTTATTCACTTGAATTCTTTGCCTAGAAAGTTAAAGCAGTAATATGCACTGAGTGTATTTTGTGACTGCTGGCTTTCACAACACCCAGTGCAGTACAGGAGGTAAACAGCAGGGAAATCCAGGGCAGTCACCGCGTTACCTCACAGCCTGCAAGGGTTGTTCCTGTGCAGCTCCAGATCCTGTCTTAAGCTGCACTACAACTCTTCACTTTTGCTGATACCTACTGTGACAGTCCTATATCAAACACTCACAGGTACCTAAAATACAAGCGGCACTGTCAGAGCAGACAACTCCAGCACTCAAGTGACTGGAAAGTCTAGACAGTCTCAAGGGCCAATGAATACTAAGAGTGACACTGTGGGTTGCTATCTGGTGCCAATCACACCACAAACACGAGTCCTTTAAAACCCAGTATACTGCTGAGGAGGGTGATTCTGGATGGCACTAACTGTGCCAGTCATTTCCTGTCAATGAATAAAACTGTATATTCTGTATTCGCACCACACATGCAAGTGTAAGGTTAACTCTTGCATAAGGTTATGTCACTGTAAGGCTTTCACATGCAAGGATTTACTGTGGCTCACGGTGCTGCTGCTAATGATTAAAATACAGTGAAGCAAGAAATGTGGGTGGCCTCAAACCAGATGCCAGATAATGCATTTGATAATCACACAGGTCCTTGTGACGGGCTGGAGAATTAACTACATTTTTCTTTGAAAGTGAAATGAGCTGAGAGAGTGCTCTAAAAATTGTCTGCTTTTACCATCTAGACCAGAGTTTTGTATCAAACAAATCTTTCCTCATATGTTTGAAAGCAAGTACCATATTAAAAAACCAGCCTTATCACTTGAGATGTTTCTGAGGACTGCATCATAGAATCATAGAATGTTTTGGGTTGGAAAGGACGTTAAAGCTCATCTAGTTCCAACCCCCCTGCCACGGGCAGGGACACCTTCCACTAGACGAGGTTGCTAACAGCCTTATTCAATCTGGGCTTGAACACTTCCAGGGAGATGGCATCCACAATTTCTCTAGGAAACCTGTTCAGGTGCTTCACCACCCTCACAGTAAAGAATTTCTTCCTAATATCTAGGATGCAGTTGGATTTCTGAGCTGGAAGCACATGTTGCCAGGTCACATTGAGCTTCTCCTCAAACAACGCCCCCAAGTCCTTCTCCTCAGGGCTGCTCTCAATCCATTCTCCGTCCAGCTTGAATTTGTGCTTGGGATTGCCCCAGCCCACCAGCAGAACCTTGCACTTGGCCTTATTGAACTTCCTGAGATTTGCACAGGCCCACCTCTCAAGCCTGTCAAGGTCCCTGTGAATGCCATCCCTTCTCTCCAATGTGTCAACTGCACCACACAACTTGGCATCATTGGCAGACTTGCCGAGGGTGCACTCAATCCCACTGTCTGTGTCACCAACAAAGATGTAAAACAATGCCAGTCCCAATACCAACCCCTGAGGAACACCACTCATCACTGGTCTCCACTTGGACCAGTGAGCTGTTTTCAACAGCTCTTTGAGTGCAACCATTCAGCCAATTCCTTATCCACCAAATGTCCATCTCCAGTTTAGAGACAAAAATATTGTGTGGGACAGTATCAAATGCTTTGCACAAGTCCAGGTAGATGATGTCAGTTGCTCTTCCCTCATCCACCAGCGCTGTAACCCCACCGCAGAAGGCCATCAAACTGTCAGACACGATTTGCTCTTAGCAAAGTCATGCTGTCACCAAACACCTCTTCATTTTCCATGTGTCTTAAGGAGGATCTGTTTCATGATCCAGGCACAGAGGTGAGATTGACCAGCCTCTAGTTCCCCAGGTCTTCCTTATTTCCCTTCTTAAAAAAGGGGGTTATGTTTCCCTTTTCCAGTCAGTGAAAACTTCATCACACTGCCATGACTTCTGAAATAGGATGGATAGTGGCCTAGACACTTCAACTGTTAGTTGCCACAGGACCCGTGGATGCATCTTATCCAGTCCCATTGATTTGAGCACCATCATGTTCCTTACATGGTCCTGAACCTGTTCTCCTACAGCTGGTGGTTCTTCATTCTCCCAGTCCCTGACTTTGCCTTCTGCCACTTCAATGGTGTGAGCTGGAGAATGTGATGGTGAAGACCAAGGCAAAAGAAGTTACTGAGTACCTTGACCTTCTCCATATCCCAGGTAATCATACCCCCCATTTACTTTTGGAGAGGGTTCACAATTTTCCAAGTCTTCTTTCTATCACCAACAAACCTATAAAAGCTTTTCTTGTTGCCATTGACATCCCTGGCCAGATTTAGTTCTGTCAGGGCTTTAGCTTTCCTAACATGAACGCTGGCTGCTCAGACAGTTTGTATTTCTCCCAGGGTACCTATCCCTGCTTCCACTCTTTATAGGCTTCCTTTTCACGTTTGAGTTTGTCCAGGAGCTCCTTGTTCATCCACACAGGCTTCCTAGTGGTTTTGCCTGACTTCCTCATTCATTGGGATGCATCGCTTCTGAGCTTGGAGGAGGTGATCCTTTAATATCAATCAGTGTTCTGGGGTCCCTCTTCCGTCCAGGGCTTTATTCCGCGGTTCTCTACCAACCAGACTTATGAAGAAGAAGCCACAGTCTGCTTTCCTAAAGTTCAGGACTGTTTGTGTCTCGAGGTCCAGGGGTGCTTGTCCGTAACACAAGAATCATATGTCTAAAGTGGAGATCCTGCTGAGAAGGATGTTGCCCTAATGTCATACGAGCTGAGCAGATGTCAGCCAGCCTACACGTGACCGATGTCCAAACTCTGCCTTTTATCAAGGTATATGGCTGATCAAAAAACGTTATGCTGGCACT